GGTTGTTTAATGCTTAGTTGTAGTAGTAAGTAAATCTAATACCAGACCTGCAACGTTCTTCCACGAATGAAATTCATTAAAAATAATTATTAATATTTATTTTTAATCAATTTGTTTGAACATGTTTTATTCATAAACTATTTATATATATAAGTGTTTACTATATATAATTATTATATAGATATAATACTTTTTGTTCATTATACAGGCATCTTTTAGTTTGTAGTTTGCACAGTTCTTAAAATATTTATAGTAATTTTTATATATAGTGTTTTGCTTAGTGAATATTAGTCAAAATTTTTCATTGTATTTAAATATTTTGTAAAGTAAATAAAGTAATATCGTCTATAAAATATATGTATTGTCTTTATTTATATAAACACATTTTATACGTAGCTTACATAGAAGTTAGTAAGTAATTAATAACTTCCAATTAGAAGAAATTATAATTACTCAAACACCGAAATTTGTTCTTAGCTTTCTTCTATAGAAAGCAACTCGATATTATAGTACCTATAAACGCTGTACATAAGTGTATACAATAAATTGTTTAGTTAATCAATTCATTATTGAGACATTTATAAAATATTATAAAAGTTGTCTCAACGATATTTAATAAATTTAATTCGTTTCTAAAATGCATCAGTTACCTTATAATTAAATAAAAATAGGTAAGTCTGATAAAATAAACCGACTCGTTTTTGAAAAATATTATTGTATGCATTATGCTTCGATCCATAAATGCATATCTTATTTTTATCATTAGAAAAAAATTCCCATTCAATACGACTATTCATTACGCATTCGAAACTCTCATTTTCATGCAACACACGAATTCCGCCGTGAAAGAAATTTCTTTCTTTATTTTATTTATTTCTCTTTAGAAATAATCTAGTCTAATAACCTATTTCTGACATTTTCAAAATTACTGAAGAATTCCTCATTCACCATGGTTCCCATTACCATCAACATATGGTATATTGATTTCTTATAGTAACATAATGTTCGACCAATACTAAAGTCTAATTATATTTCTCAATTTGAATCTTCCTGGTATACAAATTTTACAAATATTGATCTGGTTTTGATGTTGACGATTTATTCTACTGTGTTTATTAGCTTATCTCGGCTATTTTTTCACCAAAGCTTTCTTTAAAAGTCAAGGTTATACTCATCAAATGTGTAACATTACCTTATTGACTTATATTCGGAATTACCGAAAACAATCAATGTTTTGTCTGCCTCAACTATTTCATGCAAAAGTCTTTTCTTAGTCTGCTCTTTGAACACTAAGTACCGATCATCGACATTTTAGGGATCAGTGCCTTTCAGTTAATGTGACACAAATTTCCACATTGTGTATCTTTTCCATTATATATGCATGTTTAAAAATTGTTCGCTGGTTGTTTGGTTAATTTAAGTGGTAATTCTCCATAAGTCAAATTAAAACTTTTGCGGTGCGTTGATCGGAAAAGTGATTATCCGATTTTTTAAGCACACTACGGTTAGATCCAATATCAACGGTTTAGGAACAAACATATAGGCATATGTTTGTTGATATTAACTTCCGCTAATACTCGAAAATTATTGAATAGTGTCTTACCTTTACTATGTGAGATAAGCACCATGTAATAAAATATATAGAAACATGACTCGAGTAAACTGGTTACAGTTTGCATTGGTGTACAACTTTTTTGAAACATTTCTTGGATAATTATCGTGCGATGTGTAATAATTAAACTTAACTTTAATAACCACTTTTTATCCAGTTAGAATTAGTGTCTTCCCATTCGCCAGGAAGATACGAAATCAAAGAACATAAATGGATATTTCAAAAACGAGTATATATTTTATAACAATATAGTTACAACATAAAATTTACAGAAAAACTTGACCGAGTATAGATATGTTGATGTAAATCTTAAGCAAGTATAATTTTTCAAAATGTCCACCAATTTGGTTTTACATATGACACCTAATAAGTCTTTAGATCACGCAACACTACTGTCATGTGAGTCGGCATCGTACAGTCGCGACTTGGCATCTAATTATTTCTTTCTGTTTCTATACATCATGGATTAACTATACAGACAATGATTTTCATCGTCAGAAGAAGCTAATGATGCCTTCAAAAACCATGTTTTGAGCTACCAACGTCACTGTAAGAAAAATATTTCAATAATTTCTTCAAGCGTATGCAAAAATTTAACTGGAGAAATTTTTGAAAAACAAAACCATTTTTACCTATAAATTTTTTTTTCTTATATAGTTTAAAGACGTTTTTAGTGAGATTATAAGAAATATTTAAAATTTTGATCGGCAGGAATTAATTGCATACTCTATAATAGAATATCGATTATGATCATATTGCATCATATAACCCACATATCCCAGAGTCACAACCTCAAAACACAAAAGAAGATTTTTTCCTTGACCAAATTTATTGATACCATAAAAAATATTGATCGCCAACTTAATAAT